CCCCAGCCCCGTCTCCCGGGAGACTCCGCCCCCTGCAGGTGCACAGGTGTTCTTCATCGACACGCCTGAGTCCCAGTGCATCAGACTGTAGATCACCACTTGCATTTTTATTAATCGCATACAAAATTAACGTTTCTGTTTATATAATATATGACCCTGGAGCACAAAAGCAGTCATATTTGTAGCAATATCCAACAATACATTGTATGGGTCAAAATTATCGATTTTTCTTTTATGCCAAAAATCATTAGGATATTAAGTAAAGCTCATGTTCCATGAAGATATTTTGTACATTTCCTACCGTAAATATATCAAAACCGAATTTTTGATTAGTAATATGCATTGCTAAGAACTTCATTTGGACAACTTTAAAGGCGATTTTCTCAGTATTTAAATTTTTTTTGCACCCTCAGATTCCAGATTTTCAAATAGTTGTATCTCGGCCAAATATTGTCCTATCCTAACAAACCATACATCAAAGCTTTTTTATTTAGCTTTCGGATGATGTATAAATCTCAATTTCAAAAAATTGACCCTTATGACTGGTTTTGTGGTCCATGTTCACATATCACTTTGTATTTAGCCATCTGATTCCTTAGCTGCATCCTCTTCTTATCTTGTTTCTTCTCTTCTTGTCTTGTCTCTTCTAATCTCATCTTGTCTCTTCTCTTCTCATATCTTCTTCTTCTTTTGTCTCATTCATCTTGTTTATCTTGTATCGCCTTATCTTGTCACTTACTATCTGGTCTCTTCTATTGTCATCTTGTCTCATTTCATCTTATATAGTCTCATCTTTTCTCTTCACATCTTCTTTTGCCTACTCTCTCCGTCTCTTCTCGTGTCTACTCTTTCAACACTTCTCATGTTGGGACTTCTCATCTCATCTTGTTCTCATGTCTACTCTTCTTGTCAGTTTGCTTCTCATTTTCTCATCTTGTCTCGTCTCTTCTCGCCTTGTCTTTCTCATCTTGTCTTGACTCTTTTCTTCTGATCTTTTTCTTGTATCTACTTTCATTTAATCTTATCTGGTCTCTTCTCTACCCTTTTCTTGTCCCGTCTCATCCCATTTCACTTTTTCTCATCTTGTCTCTTCTCATCTCATCTCTTGTCCCCTCTCTTCTCTTTTGATCTGATCTCTTCTCATATCGAATCTTGACTCATCTCATCTTATTTAGTCTCTTCTAGTATCCTCTTCTCTCTTCTTGTCTCGTCTTGCATTGTATTGTCTCTCTCCCACATATTGTCCCAGCAGCAGCTGAAGCCTCTTAGGGGTAAAATGTCAAATGTTTCTACTTGCTGTAAGTGTGATTATGCATGCAGTCGGCATGGTTACAACAGCCATGTGACTGATGTATATTCTCAAGCTCAGTAGAACAGGCTGGTGTTAAGCAGTGGAGTAATGTGAGCTGGCTGTTAAGTCTCTCACATTAAACTATAGAATCTGTGAGTGTGTATATTACAGTACATGACATGCGTACACATTCACCTCCAGAGACCCCAAGCATCCACCATAATGTGGGAGCTTCGAAACGTCCAAAGCGGGCCTACCTGGCCTACCTGAAGACACGTTTTCATCTGTGTAAGTGCACCAACAAAATGGTTTCAGTTTGCTGTGACTTGGAGTGAACTCTGCTGCACGTGTTTCCCTCTACTTTCTCACAGGGTTTCTACAAGCATGCATCGTTTAATTGAAAGACATCATGTATGGTGTTGCAGTGCTTTTCACAGCGTGTTTGATCTTCCAGATAGTGAAGACTAAAATGTATCCAGTGGCTGATTTTATATGTGTGTGTGTTTGCATAGGAATGCAAGTTCTGGAGTGGAACAGCATTTCCTTGACTAGTAAGACGTACGAGGAGGTGCAGGGTCTGGTTGGTCACCAGTTTGGAGAGGCAGAGATATGTCTCAGACTGTAAGTGCCAGATTTGCATAGCTACTTATCATTTAAATGTGCTTTAGATCATTTTTACTTCTACTTTCTATCTACTAAGAAAGGTGTACAGCTTGAGAAATGATTAGTACTTGTTTGGAAAAATTTGTGCACATTTAAATGTCAAGTTATTGTCATAGAAGTAAAAATGAAACACAGTTCCTAACCCATTTTTATTCTGCATTCTGATGTATTTCTTAAGGAAACATGATATTTAATAAGAAGAAATGTAGGGCAGGAATAAATCATGAAAAATTGGGGTTACATATTTTTTTATGTAAAAAGGGGTTAGAGGGAATGTGTCTGAAAAAAGTAAAAAGGATTTGTGACTTCAACCAAAAGCCATTTGAGAGCGAAAAAAGTAAAACATTTTACAAAAAAAGTACATTAAAACCAGGAGCGTACATTTAAGAGAGCAAATAGGGTCCATTCACAGAACTTTTTGTCTTTTGATCATGATTTATCTTTTGTCATCTCCAGTGACCTAAATATGCTGTCTGATTCTGAAAGTTCCCACCTAGACCTTCAAGACCAGGCCAAAGGTGAGAACCTCCAGTCAGAGGAGAAGGCAATCAAATTATAATGTCCTAATTAACCTCAATGGCACTTTACCACTAACTTCTGACTTGCATTTATAAATATACAGGAGACAGACCTCCGCGGTCACCAGGTGTGGACCCTAAGCAGCTGGCTGCCGAGCTGCAGAAAGTGTCCCAGCAGCAGGTGCCGTCCTCCTCTGCATCAGCACTGGATAAAGCCTCAGCGTCCACTGGCTCCAGTGCAGTTCCTAGCCCTGGCCAGCCTGGTTCACCCTCTATCAGCAAGAAACGTCACAGCAAGGTATGCATATGCCATGCGTATGCAACTATTTGATGCCTTTTTGTGTGCAAAGAGTTAAATGCATAACTGTGTCTTTTCTTACTGCTGATGTTTTGTTTCTTAGACCTCTGAGGCTGCAAAAACTCAGTCCCACCCAGTGTCAGGAGAGATCCAGGTAGATTTTGGCTCTTAACGCAGCTGTAAGAGTAGCTTATTCAGGCCATGGGAAACCTGGAAATGTCAGGGAATTTTAAAATTGTGTTTTACAGACCTGCATAAGTGGAAATTTCTATAGTTGATATAAACTCCTCTAGTTATGCTCAGCTCTAAAATATTTCTTCAGCTAGAAATTGCTCATTATGTCATGTAAAGTGAATTCATTGATCAGAACCCTGCTTATTAATCAACAGAATGTATTTATGCCATATTCATTCATATTTTTAGTAGTGGAAAGTAGAAAAAAAATTCGTACTTTCTTTCTTCGATTTTGCAGCTTCAAATAAATTACGACAAACAGCTGGGAAATCTCATCGTCCATGTTCTTCAAGCACGAAATCTGGCACCCCGGGACAATAATGGCTACTCAGATCCGTTCGTTAAAGTTTACTTGCTGCCGGGTAGAGGGTAAGTACATTGAGTAAAACTCAACTGACTGGAACTGAATTGTTTCTCAAGGTTTCAGCCTCAGTGTGAACAACCAACTGGGGCTGGTCACTTTAGATGTTCAGCCTCTTCCTTTTCAAGCTACCTGACAAAATAGCTATGTAAGACTACAGAGAGTGTGAAAATAAGATGTTAGTATAATTTAATATCTGGATTCTTGACTTTAAAAAGATATATCCACCTGTTTCACCCTTGGCACTAGAAATTAGGACTCCCGGAGCTGTTATTCAATCCCAGCTGCTACTTTCCTTGAGTTAACGAAACAGAAAATCACTTATCCAGCTAATTAGCACCAGGTCTGTGGGAAAGACCTGGAAAGGATTATGCATATTGTGTAAGACTTAGTTTTTAGCTGTATATGATTTTGTGTGTGTGTGTGTGTGTGTGTGTGTGTCTCCATACATTTATATGTGCAGTAAGTGAGTCAGCAAAAGCGGAAAATCAATGCCAGTTCAGTTTGTGTGTAAAATGATAGCGCTGACTGATATTTGTAGGATGGTGTGTATGTTTGTGTATGTGTGCTTCGGCTCATTTCTGGCTGTCATCTGGTCATGCAGTACTTGGATTGAACCTACAGAAACAGGAGCTCTCCATTTCTCTACTCCATATGGGCATGAATGCATGGGCTACTGCACACACACACACACACACACACACACATCTTCGCAGTCTCCCACTCATCACTGATTGTTGTCTGTTTTTGCTGCATGCTGGATCTTCACAGTCAGGTCATGGTTGTGCAGAATGCCAGGTATGTGATTCTTTCCTATGGTACCAGCACATTATACAAGACTTGGCCATGAATGGCTTAATGATGTAGTGTTTTGCTCTTTATATCATCGTTACGCATTTCATCATTTTCTCAAAGTAGTATATGGTCACTGCAGCAACACAAGTGGGCCTATACTAGACGTCCTCCATTGTGCAAACCAATTGCCACCAGTGTGAGGTGTTTCAAGGTTAAGTTCGTGCCAAACTGATTTTCTTCCTGCAACTCAAGGTGACCTCTTGTGGTATGTTATCTAATTGCAGTGCTGAAAACAAAAGAAGGTCCAAACATGTTCAGAAGAGCCTGAACCCAGAGTGGAACCAGACTGTCATCTACAAAAATATCCACCTGGAACAGGTAAACTACAACCTCGCAATCATTTGCACACGTCTAGGTTGCAGATATCTAGAAAACCAAAAGAAAAATCTGATTTCACTTTGATGGAATATGCTTTTTTTTTGTTTGAACATCTCATGTCAGTTTTGAGATTTCAATTATCTAAAAGCTCTTCAGAGAGAATCTCGGGCTTTTGGTGCAGACAGGGAAAAGTCTGTTGTCTCCCAGAAGTGCTTTAGTCTAATTAAGACCAAAGAGCTTTCTGAGTCTGTTGAGCTCTCTGAGGCAGCTGCAGACAGATGTGATTGATATGTTTTTACTGGACTATTGAAGCGAGTTGAGTGGCTTGTAATTGAGAGAGAAAGACAGAATGCAGATAGGTGAGGCTTGTATTGAAAACCATCTGGATTTAATGCTTCAGTGTTGCATATCGTGTTGGAGATGTTTGCTGGTTTAACAGAATATATATATTTTCTTAATCAGTATTTTTGACTTGCTTTCCAGTAAAAGTATAAAAATGTTCTAAAAAATAAAATAATTTTACTTCAGAAGCAAAGTTCAAAGATTCAGAATGTCTCAGAAAGTCTATTATACTCACCATGGCTGTATTTATTTGATTAAAAATACAGTCAAAACAGTAATTTTGTGAAATATTATTACAATTTAAAATAACTGTTTTCTATTTTAATATTTTAAAATGTAATTTATTCCAGTGATGCAAAGCTGAATTTTCAGCATAATTACTCCAGTCTTCAGTGTCACATAATCATTCAGAATTCATTTTAATATGCTGATTTGGTGCTCAAGAAAATATTTATTATTATTATCAAGGTTGAAAACAATTGTGCTGCTTAATATTTTTTGTGGAAACCATGATAAATTATTATTTTGATCGATGTAGAGAAAGTTTAAAAGTACCGAATTTATTTGAAATAGAATTTTTTGTAACATTATAAATGTCTTTACTGTCACTTTTGAATAAAAGTATTGTTTTATTAGTTTATTTTTATTTTTTGAGGTTTCTTTTGAAGTTTTAAATGGTAGTGTATGTTTTGAAATATAGCTTCTCAAGAAATAGTTCAGTTGAAGTTACTTAGAATGACAACATTAAAATAATGTAAGGTAATTGAGTCACAAAGTAAATCATCTTGGCATTGAATACTCTGTGTTTGTGTGGTGTGTGTTTAGCTAAGAAAGAAGACACTGGAGGTCAGCGTGTGGGACTACGACAAGAGCTCTGCCAATGACTTCTTGGGAGAGGTGAGAAGCTACAAGCTTTAAACACACTTTGAAAGATAAAACACCAGGTCCAATGTGTGCTAAATGATACAGAAGCGTGTGTGTATATATATATACTTTTATGTATATTCAGGTATCTGAACTTTAAAAAAATGATTCAGGTGTGAATTATTTATATATGTGTATATATACACAGAATTTACATAAAAAACACACACACACTGCTATCAGTGAATAATAATAGTCATGGGCTTTGTAGGTACTAATTGACCTGTCCAACACTGCCCAACTGGACAACGTCCCACGCTGGCTGCCTCTGAAGGAGCAGAGCGAGGGCGAGCATCACCGGCGTTCTCACTCGGGACAGGGCCGCCAGCACTCGCCCAAACCCCCCGTAGGACACGGGGGCCAGCATTCCCCAAAAACCTCCGGTCACAGCAAGGAGGACTCGCCCAAATCCTCGGTCATCAAGAGCCGTAGTCACGGAATCTTCCCTGACCCTGCCAAGGGTAGGACCGCAAGTCGCATGGCACTTCTGTCTCTTCTCCTTTCACATTTCCAGTCGTGATGTCTTCCTCTTTTCCATCCTTCTATTGCTGTCATTTCTGTGCATTCTGTCCTCTCTTCCTCTCTCTTTATTGTTCTTACTTTCACTTGATCTCTCCATTCTGTATTTCTCAAGCTTCCTAGCTTTGGCTTCCCGCTCTCCATATATGTGTGTTCAGTTCACAACAGCGCTGAGCTCACCAGCGCTTCACTCCAGCCACCTCACACAGGGTGTGACAGGGCCGCTCTATCAGGAAGCAGCCTGCTTAGATGCTAACTAGGGCACAATAGTTGGACATTAAATATCACATTAGTTGTGTCAGATTCAATGGAGACTCAATTTCAAATAACCTAATAACATAATAATTGTAGAATATAAATAAGAATGACTTTTTGAAGAATTAAAATGAATAAATAGGCAAAAGTAGGAAATGAAACGCCCTTGTGGTAATTTGGTTCTGGTTGTTTTAGACACGCAGGTCCCTACAATTGAGAAATCTCACAGTAGCCCCAGCACGTCGAAGCCATCCCTCTCCGAGGGCCAAGCTGGCCCCCACGGAGGCCCCCGTGCTCATGGCAAAAGTGGCACGGCCCGGGCACACCTTGACGATGCCGCGGCAACGGCCGAAGCTGTCGGCCAGCAGCCCCATCTCCAACCAAGTAAACGATGCAAATAAAACCTCCACAGCATGGCTGCCTTCGCACTCATCTGTTCCTCCTTCTGTTCTTTTTCACTGCCCTCTTTTGGTTTTTTCCCCTTCCCTGTTGTTGTTTTCTGGTTTCTCCCATTTTACTTCCTCTGGTCCCCCTGTGGTCACAGTCTGTCACTTCACTTCCAGTTCTCACCGGTGTGTTGGGAACGCCATCACGTTTGCACATCATATTTTGAAGTAACGCGGGCTAAACTTTGAATTCATTAAATATAGTTTCACTGCACCCTTAAATCGCATCTTTTAAACTTCCTGTTCCTGTAGCACAGCTAGCATGGCGTTAGCCAAGGTCATGGGTTTGATTCCCAGGGAACACACAATAAGCATATGCATAAAATAATGGTAGAATTTTTTAGGATGGTGAGTCTGAGTCCAGCCTAAAAAATCTTCAAAAATAAATACAGTTTCTGACCTAGTCAGGCACTGACCTAGTCAGATGACACTGTGCCTTCCACAGGATGCTAACTAAGATTACTAAGACCTGTCAATCACTGAGGAGATCTGACTGCTCATGTCAGGCACCTAGTCGGCAGACTTGTGATTTTACCCCACAGGGACATGTTGAAACCTTGCCACTGAGGCTGTTTTAGGTAAAACCTTCTCAATTTACCATTTTAGAGAGCAAATGACCAACCCTGATCAGCACACACATACATAGTGACATGTTTTGCCCCCTTGAACCCTTCACCACAGCCCTGACAACCTTTCTTCAAACTCCTCTTTTATTTGTCCCATTGAGTTGTTCTCTGTCCCAGACGGCCGGCTTTTCAGCAGCTTCCCCACTCCACCGAGATGGCCGTGCATGTGGCCGCCTGCTCCTTAAAGAACCATCCCACCCTGCCTCCACTCTCTCTGTGGCTCTCGCTGGCCTACACTGCACCTCAGTCGACGCTGTAAGCGTACTGTGGCTGCATGTGACTATGACCTACAGTAAAAGCTGGTGGTGTCCATTTTGTGACGAGTTCATACTCTGAGTCTCCATCTCGCCTCCCTTCTCCCCTCTTCAAACCTCCCCTCCTTCTCGCCCCCCCACCCGTGACTGATATATGGCCCCAGCCCAAAATGGCTGCCTCGACCCGAGGCACCACAGGCACAGCGTAGTTGGTGTGCTCACCATTCAGAGAGCCCCGTCCGAGTCGCCGGCCAATGAGATCCCTGACAGCCGTCACCTGACCCTCAGGAAAGCCATGTCTGAAGAGAGGCCGCAGCCGGACGGAGGTGAGAGTTGAACGTCAGCAGTTGAACGTCTCGTATGATTGCCGATGACAGCAAGAGAGAGAGAGCGAGAGGATGTTGAGTTACTAACGCACATCTTAACTAGCGGAACTAGCTGGTTGAATTGCAAAGGGTGCTTTTGTGCCCACGAAGGGCACTGCGGGAAGGGGACGCTATCCGAAGGGTCTTTCCAAACGAAAGTGAGCAACTGGATCCTTTTACACAAAACTGTTACAGAAGATGATCAAGGAAGTAAATTTGCAGTTATGATTATGTGAATCTGGGTGCCGCATCGATAAGCAGAAGTTGAACAGCATGCCAGTTGAAATAAAATTTCATTAAAGACACAAAGAGACAATCATTGAGATTTTTAGCATTAGCATCCATTAGCATGAATTTTGTTATCAAGTAAAAGGCCTGTTCTCACTGAGACGAAGGTTTGGTGCAACAATTCGTAATATTTTAATTTGAATGGCAGTTAATGCGTCTGTTCAGACCAACAAAGACATTTGCATGCCGTTAGTTTGACTGAATGTTTTCAATAATAAAATAAAATACTAATAAATACTAATACTAATAAAATACTGTGACAAACATTAGAATATTAATATAAAAGCTTTTCTGTAAGTGCCACCTACTGCCAGAGAGTGAAATTGCATTTTCATTCAGGCCATCTGCCTTTTTTTTCAGATTGGTCTGAACATACAAATTGCATATAGACTGATTTTTCATGTCGACAGTCGTGTTAGTATGAACAGGCCTGAATTTTGCAGATTCACAATAGAGTAGCAGTGACGATTGTCGTGCAAATCTGTGCCATGCGAGTGATTAGGACCTTTTGATGCTCACTTTCGACTGGAATCTGCTTTCTGCCACTTCACAGGAAGTTCATGCAGCGAGTCTCAGTCTGGTTCAACAGTCCAGCAACGTGCATCCTTAAAACCAAGGGAACAAAACAGTAGTGCTCAACTATGATGACAAATGCTAGGAGGGAGCGCCGACCCCCTGACCATCCCAAGAGAGTCTCATTAGCTGCCTATTTTTAGCGTTACCGTTGCTGAATCTGTTTGAAAAAAGACTGTGTGCATGAATTACGTGCCAAAATCATGCATCCCACGTCACACCATCACCATTACTTTCAGTCAAACACTGCATCACCATTAAAAAAAATCAATTAAAATATGATTAATCGTACTTAACCACAATTAAAATAAACTTAGCGTAATTCTAACAGAATTAGCATAATGGAATTACTTAATGCACAAAACTCAAACACACAGTTTACTAATGAACAGTTTAATTTGTTGTGTCTGTGCTTTTGCTTCTGTCATCTGATGTCTGCTTAGCATATGTCTGTCTGTGGTATTTCCTTTCATTAATGGAGTGCTGTCATGCTTTCTTTAAATGTTGCCAGCAGTATCTATTTGTGTGTATGTGAGTGTGTGTGTGTGTTGGGAGTGGATATGTGGATATCTACCCCTATAATTGATAGTTACCAGTTGCAAACTAGTAGTAGTGTATGTGACTCATGCAACTCACATAGTCCACTTCAAAAACAGTGTCCCGCAGCCATAGATCTGGTGATGCTCCTGTTACTGCAGCCTCATTGGACAGCGGTCTGAGTGGCAGTGCCTTTAGCCTGTTGGATGAAGAGGGCGGGACCAATGCAGTAGATGGTGCTGTCTTCCAGGTCCCCAGATTGTGAGTGCTTTCCATATGACTCCCATAATATTTGCTAATCAGTCATATTTTGTTTGAAATAATCTACATTTTCATATTTTATTTGGTAGAATCTAGACTGCTTTTTTGTTTATTGTTTATTCAAATCCCTCTATTTTCTTGGCACTCCACGGGTTCTCTGACCTGATGTTGTTTATTATTCAGTGGAAAGATTCCAAACGGCACAGAAGCTGTGAAATCCGCTCATGGCGATACAGAGGGTAATGTTTGCATGGGATGTTGTGTGGTTTTGTGATTATTTGTGCATGTTTGTGTCAATAGCAGGGTATTTGGGAGTACAATGTGGCAGCAAAGTTGAATTTCTTTTATATTATATATATATATGATAAAATATTATGAATTTTATTAGATGATGCTTTTAAATCTACAGTAGTATAGATGTGTCTGTGTCTGTGCCTGTTTAGGTAAGACTCAGGTGATGGGGGAGATAAAGATTGCCCTGAAGAAAGAGATGAAGACAGAGGGAGAACACCTGGTGCTTGAGATCCTACAGTGCAGAAACATCACCTACAAATTCAAGTCTCCAGACCACCTCCCGGGTAACAAGACACACGACAGCAAACATGTTCACTCATTCTAATTATACTATGCGTCTATTTGATATATGGTTGATTTACGCATTGTCTTATTGATATAAACGTCCCAAATGTTCTTACAGAAATGCTTTGATGTATTTCCTGTTTAAACAGGACTTGAGTTAGGAAAGCTTAATACTTACGGTTGATGTTGTTTTACAGACCTGTATGTGAAGCTCTATGTGGTGAATGTGGCCACTCAGAAAAGAATCATCAAGAAGAAAACCAGAGTGTGTCGTCATGATCGTGAACCGTCTTTCAACGAAACTTTTCGCTTCTGCATGAACCCTACAGGTCATTCCATTCAGGTATGTCAGAAATCGATGCACTAGGGTGCTAAAATTTGACCCGACTTAAAGTAGTGATTCATATTTATTCCAACCCTTGCAGCTCTTTCTTGTTTCAAATGGAGGCAAGTTCGTAAAGAAGACCCTAATCGGTGAAGCCTATGTGTGGCTGGATAAGGTAGACCTGCGGAAACGGGTGGTGAGCTGGCACAAGCTGCTGGCCAGCACAGCTCAGATCCACTCCTAAAGACGGCGGTCAGATGAGGCGCGAGGACAGACCAGGCAGTGGAGTCTCACATCTCTGCCGCACTCTTTGGGACTAAACTGAGGGCCGATACAGGGAGCTTCCCTATTGCACTGGCATGTATGATTGTGTTAATCCAAGCCATGGAGAAACAGGTGTATAATGGTGTTTACAGAAAGGATCTGACCCTTAGTGACAAGATGCAGATCTTTACGTTGGGAAAAGCTAAAAAAATTGAGCTGGAGATTCACACAGTGTGTTCATACCTATATGTGTACATGCACTTTCACAATCACTCACACTTATCCACACATATTTATACAGATGTATGTATAATAATATGTGTACATTGGGCCACAACCGACAGTTAGATGATAGAGTGAAAGTATATTTATTTCAAAGTAATTTTTCCCGTTTGTGCATTATTCATATGAGAACTATTATTTACAGATAGAGACGGATATCATATACATTATTTTTGTATGATAGAGACAAATTCAGTTTTAGATATTTATCGTTATTTTACATTCCCTCTCAGATGTTATTATGTGTTGAAAGACCTGATATTTAAAGCATATTATCAATGGATTAGAAGAATATTTTATGGTATATTATAGACAGATTTAAATGAATGAAATATGATTTATTGGGTGTTGTGATGACTCTTTGTGTCAGTATGGTTATTTCCACTCACAGAAGTAATACTTTCATCTTTCGCTGTGTGATACTGAATTCATCAAAGTCAGAGAAACAGTTTCAAAGCTCTAGGAATCAAGAAGCAGATAATTACAATGAATTTAAATGTTTAAGAAAACTGCCGGTCTTATATGACTCACACAGAAATGAATGGGAAATTGAATAGAAAGTGTTCGCTGATTATGATTTGCTATCTCATTTGATGTATGTGACGGTCGAAATATCTCCAATTTTCAGCAGCATCAGTTGTCAAATCCAGCACTGTTATATAATTTGCACTTTGTGTCTAGCATTTTACGAATGTAGGTTGGTAGCTTTTTCTGAGTTTTCCTCAGAACATCAAAAACATCCTGCCATTTAAAAGAGTCAAACACTGTCAATCCCCTACATACTCATATGCATCTATCTCTCTTAAATACTCAAGGATTAGATTGAATGGGTCAGTGTAGTGTCTGTCCGCATCATATTGCTGATACAATGTTGATATTATGTTTTATTTAAAAAAATAAAAAATAAAAAAACTCCTAAACACTCAGGTTTCGATGAAAAAGACTTGCTTAAAAATTATTAAGCAAGGTTCAGCTTAAAGGCGATAACAGTGCAGGATCAGGGTGATGATGGCATCACAATGTGTTCATTTTTAATTTAACAGATCATTTTGGCTAACTTTAAATTCTCTTCGCGGTTTACATGTCTAAAAGGAGACGTTAGACGCTGAGTGCACAATCTCATACTTTCAGAAATGTGTGGCCACTTTGCAATGCAGACACTTAAATCAAATGCCATTAGTATTATATATATAGGATGTGTGGATAAAAACCTTACAAAAAAAATGAATAACCCAGCCATTATGCAGGTCATGTACTTACTGATATTCACTCAAACATCCAGCGTTAATAGTTGAGTCAACCTTGTGCCAAACTACCAAAATCCGCAGGTTCTGTGTATGTTATTCTATGCAACCGAAAAAGCGTCTGGTGTAGGCTACTTATTGTTTAGTAGTCGAAGGACAGATAAAGCATTACGAATGAGTACTTTTTTTATTTTTGTATGTTTTTTTCCCCCACATGGTAAATATGTTTGCTTTTATACATTTTTGGTTGTGTCTTTTGCTTGATGCTTGTTTAATTAATTTTTTATTGCTAACAATGAGTTTGCAAAAACATTGGGTTAATTAACCTACTCAACTATATAACTGCTAGTTTTGAAAATTTAAATGTACATAAAATGTGTTTACAGGATCATAGCAGACTGGTCATCTTATGTTAGTCATTCACAGTGTCTGGAAACACAACTATCTCACTGCACTCAGCTTTATATACAATGCTCAACTTTCACTATATATTCTGATCTCCCAGAATGTGTTATAATTTCTTTATGTTTACAAATTAGATGAGAAAAAGACATCATATAACAAATCGTCACATGAATTCATCGTAACCAATGCAGCCTCCTTTGAATTATTCGCGCATGCTCCACTTTCACTTCGCCACACTAACTTTCACCTCTGCAAAAATGATACAAAATAAATAAATAAAATCAAGCTGTGTAAATAAAAATTATAATTTTCTTTTTGTACAAATAGGATCTTGTATTAGATTTCTGGTTCAGCGAAGAGCATGTGTGAGGGAAAGGAGCAGAGCGACTGTGTGTTACATGTTGTACATGCACTAGGGTAAAAGCTTTCCTCATGCTTGCATCTGACGGACTGGACTTGACCTGCACAACAGACACCGATTTAACCCTGTACAATAACGAACAGATGTTGACCTTACTGACTCCAAGTAGAATCAGGAAACGTATGGTGTTTTCACTTTGGATGTTGCATGTCTTGTTGGTGGTTTGTTCTATTTTTGTGTCCAGATTCTATTTACAAAAAGAGAATAAGATTATGAAAAATTAATCAGATCTAAATATGTATGCTGACTGTACAAAGATATGCTTGAATAATCCGTCTGGTTTTCCACTTAATGTAAACTGATGAAAAAAATCCAGCTGTCATGGTTTTTGTGGTTGTACACAAACGGTATTGATAAATTATGCAAATTGTGCTGTAATAAAAGGCTAATGCCCCAAGTCTAAATATTAAATGATATATGTAAAATTCTCCCTGATGTGAATTAATTTGTAAGCCACTTTTACACCATTCTCTCTCTCTCTCTCTCTCTCTCTCTCTCTCTCTCTCTCTCTCAATGTGTCTTTCTGTCTTTCTATGTCTGTTGGTCCGTTTTATCTATTTATCTGTCTGTCTGTCTGTCTACTGTATCTTACACCATTCTCTCTCTCTCTCTCTCTCTCTCTCTCTCTCTCAATGTGTCTTTCTGTCTTTCTATGTCTGTTGGTCCGTTTTATCTATTTATCTGTCTGTCTGTCTGTCTACTGTATCTGTCGGTTTACTGTATCTATCTATCTTGTCTGTCTGTCTACCAGTAGTTTGTGGGTAGTAAGAAACACGAGGACAGGTAATGTCATAATGCTTTGTCATTATACTTTATTTTTTCTTGTTTTATAGTTTTATGAGATTATTATATTTTACAAAGTTAAAGCTGCAGTCCGTAAATTTTGCCTCTTTGTCGCCATCTCTGTTTGAAAACCTGGAATTGCAGCTGTGTGCGGAATTATCTAGTTTGCGTGGGTTGTGAGTGGGCGCGGCTCCAGCATGGATGAATCTAATGTTCTGAAGAGTATGTGTGGCAGCCAGTCACGCACGGGTGTGGATATTTACTGTACTTTGCAATCACAGATTCTAGCCTACTTCTTCGAATATGACCCA